GATGGGGGCGGTCAATGATGGTCTACATATTTAGTAACTTTTTTTGCTCTGAAGAAACTACATAATAAAACCATTAAACTAAAAACAAAAAAAAAAAAAGAATTATTGATTGTTTTATTTAAAGGGTACAACCTTCTATAAAGAACACAACAGATTGTTATATTTGTTTATTTTCCAAAAATATTATTATTAGGATGATGATGATTGTTAGACAATCAAAATGTTTTGTGTCCAGGAGAAGTCTTTTTTGTTGTTTTTTAAAGGCAAACATCATCTGAATACATTCATACTGCAAAATTACTAATAAAGAAACTTGGCAATACAAACCTGGAAGTTTTGTGCCTTTTAGCTTTAAAACAAGCTGCACACAGTTTTACCACACCTTACAATTTTTGACATCTAATTTTCCTTAAAACATGTTTCACATACTTAGATCTATTTCTAGACCAGTTTCCAAGATATTTTTTTTAATTTCAGTTGATATTGTTTTAAAAAGAATTAATTTTTATAAAGGAAATCAATTGATTATTTTATTCATTGGATATTATAAACATACATTATGCTGTTTTTTATATACTCTTCAAACACATAGCTATTTTCAACTTTTTCTCCCTAAATGCTTGTTAACAGCATTTTCTTTTTAATCAAATGTTTCAAAAAACTTTATTTGTGACAAAATGAGTCAACAAAGCTTGTTGGAGCTGAAGGTGGGGTAGTTAAGATTTATAAYAACACCCACACATAGGTAGATTAATCACCATGAGAGCTCTTTAACCCACTCATCTGTGGACTTATACAGATCCAGATAATATAGCTAATCAAGGGGATAATCCTCAGTGACGAACATGCATATTAGCACTTCAGTTCCCCACAAACACACACACAGGCACTCAAACATGCACATACTAACGGTTTGATTACCGTGATGTAATTACAAAATCACATTTGATTGTAATTAGTCCATTTTGTGTTCTGTCACACTCTGATTGTGCGGCTGCTGCCACGATGAAATATTAATGTTCGGGCCCTACCTCATATCTGAGTCGTTATCAAATTTTTGTAGTGGCTCCACAAAGCATGGATTGTATTAGCATTTTGTTTTTACTTGTTTTGAAGATCCTTGCTTGTCTATCTTACTTCTTGCTCTGTTGTCTTTGTTTTGCTTTAACTTTTACTACATTTATTCAGTTTTTCTTTCATTTTTTTTACAGCTACCCTGTGACTGTGATGTGCCTTCTCTGAGCAGATATATCACAAAACTTTGCAGTTCAAAACGTTTTCTGGCGCTCAAAAAAAAAATAAAAAATAGAAAAAGGAAGTCTAGAAATACATCACTGTATCTGCGCCTGCTTTTATCTCGCGCAGCACACAGCAAGGCTTTAGTTCCACAGCCGAACGGTGGAGTGTATCTTCTATGAACGTGAAACAAATTAAACCTTCCCGCTGCCTTGATATGTCCAGCAAGTAAAAGGAACCCGTGGAAATATTTACATATTTCAATTTATCACAATGTTTAAAAAAAATCATCTCTTGTTATGAGAAGCTAGAGAATCTGCTTTTAGTCAGTGTTCACGCAGTTCCAGTTTGAAAGAAACCTCGAGCCAAGTTATTGTCTGTCACTGGGTCAAGCAGAGAGAAAACATGAACAAAGCGAGTGTGTAATTGATTGAGGGAAAACCTTTATCCTTTTGAAAAAGAAACCATTTGGATTTGTTTTTATAGAAAAAAGGGATTGGACTTTTGAACCTTGTTTTATATATATAAATCCCATTAGACTAGAAACAGAGGGCACACTGGCATCTACTGTTTGTTCACATGCAAGTGTGTCGAATGGTGTCCTATATTGTACAGTTTGTGTGTGTTTTGTGTGATAAGACTTCAAGCAATGGTAGCATCTCCTCAGCATGCATAATGATATTATTTCGTTTCAACACCACAGAGCTAGACCTGAATTTTAAAAGTGTTTTTGTTCATTTTTTTAAGCTCTTTCTGTGTGTGTTCTTGCACATTTGTGTGGGTTCCGTGGCATGTGGCTAGAGCAAGAGCGGCAGGTGATGTGGGGGCAAGAGTTAAAATAACAAATGCGCACTCTCCCATGAGGTTGACTTGATCCAGTCTGCCACACTTTGCCATTTACTCACACACTCACACACTTCCATGCACGCACACCAGCTGTGGCTAATGATGCAGTAGCAATGGTAGGATTGTCACCACATGTGGTCCCTTTGTCTGAAGCCACCAGAGCACACATCAGTCTGACAGGCTACAACCTTCACAAGTCATCAGCGACTGCAGCTATTTCCTCTGCATCTTCACACAAGAGCTCACAAACAGCATTAACCCATCAAGACCTGAAGCTGCTCAGGAGTTTACCTACTGGTTCTAATGGGCTGGAGTGGTAATCTCATATGCAGCTTGTGTCATTTTCACAGCATGATATCTATAGTCAGCACCTGATACTTTGTTTTACCATCAGGCCACAGAAAACAGCAGGTGAAGCTTCCCTTGAAAGTTAACTTTCTTTTACCTTCCAACACAACATTGCAGTCAAAATGAAGACAATTTATTAGCTTTGCAAATGTTTAATATGTACTGAAGTAATTTGCAAAAGATCCTGGTTGCATTTTTAATTGTATTATTTTGTTCAAAAAATCGAAATAAAAAAACTAGCTTGTTTAGCTAATTTATGTTAAAAGGCTGTCCAACTTCACCTTAAATGGTTTGATAATGTGATGAATAAACACAGCCACAATACATAACTGTTATCAGACTAGCTTTATTTTTCTATAACAGCTGATAGTTTGTATATAACTGATGATTCAAACTGTCTCCTGGAGCTTATACTGGTTTTAGCACATTAAGTCTTCATCCGATAGGTCCATCATGGTGAGAAACTTGAAGCTGCAGCAGGTTCCGCAGAACAGCATCCTGTTGCCAAACTTTGGTTTGACAAAAATAAAAAGACAAACAGTTTTTTCTGTTTTTGGAGTATAAAATCAAAATGGAATAATCTGTCTTTTTTCTGTTTTTCAATGTGTGTTTTTTAAAACAAAAACTGAATTACCAAAAAAAAAGTACACAGGCCCTAAATCTGTTCTTTGCCATTATATAAATTGTAATTTACATTCTCCACCTTGTGACCTCACTTCTTATGTGACTGATGAAAACACAAGCTCCTTGCACACTTTAGCTTGTGAAGCAGCACCCGCACATTTTTGTACATTTGTACTGTTTGTGAATTTTTCTTTTTATTTATTCCTCTTTTTTTTCCTCCGCGTAAAAGCTTGAGTTAATGGAAGCTGAAAGGTCACACAGCAGCTCACTTCAGAATGAGAATTCCGACCGACACTGAGCCCCGTATCCAAAGAGCGCTGCCAAACCTTTAAAGATCAGAGAAGGGAGCAGGTGGAATGACTTCCAGGCCAGAGCAAAGCAGTAAAGTGGAGAATAACGCTAAATTACCTCTTTTCTGCATCTGAAAGTTCCATTTCCTAATGTTAAGGGTGGAGGGAATTAAGCGGCCTGAATTAAACAACACAGCTTGGACGTTTATGTCCCTGCCATAAAGCTTGGATGGGCTGGATTTATGGGAGTTTGTACCAGTAAATACAGCTCTCAGGAAATGTGATTAGGCTCATAAATAGAACATTTTACTGCTGTCCTACCCTTCACCTAAAGAACCTTGTGAAAGCATATGTTCAGGGCATTTTGCTTCTCTGCCCTGTCACCTCAAGATTTTTTTTTTATTCATTTTATTTGTAACAATTATATACACAAAAAAGTAAAAAAATAAATAAAAAAACATGCAATCTAAATAAAATCAAAATAAAATGAAGGGCAGCAGAAGAAGAATAAACCTTATAATATTATTTTTTATTATTTATTTATTATTTTAATGATTAATAATTATATTGTTTGTATGATACGTATGTGTGATTTGATGCAAAACAGCTTATTTCTTCAGAGCTTAGATCGAATGGTAAATACATCGATCCATGCTCACATTGTATCTTGGCATATCTGTACTTTTAAGCAGATTGTGAAGTCAAACTGCCTTTTTTAATGCTTATTAAACTAAATTGTAGCACTTGTTTTAATTAATCAAAATACATTTATTTACCCTGTGTACGTGTTTATTACAATTGTCTGCAAATTGTAAAATAAAACCTCAAGACACCATCAGATGCAGTATAATATCATTTCTGTCCATCCGTTACATTTTCAGAAAGCTGTAACTTTCACATGGAAAGGCTAAAATACACCAAACTTGGTATGAGTCATCCATGTTGCATGCCCGACCATATCATGTGGTCATATGCTGACATCATCAAAGCCCCTCAACACGTTTGTGTAGTAGTTTGACAAGATCATTTTAGCCCTGTCTGTCTGTTGGTCCATCCATCTTTTCACCTTATGAGATCATTTAAATAACGAAGGCCTTTAATGATTTTGACAAAATACTAACAGTTGGTCACTACTGAATGGCGACCGGAGACATCAGCAATGGTTGGCGTCGAGTTCTATCTTGTATTTTTATTGGTCGTCTTTTCCTGCAGGTCTTCTTGTCCCTGAAAAATAAGTAACAGCTTCTCAAGGCTTTCCTGAGTGAAAGCTTGTAACATTTTACTTCCATCATTGTATTTGTCATTCATAGATACCCAAAAACAAAATTATACTAATTATTGTTTTATGTTCACAAATATGTTGTAGATGTGCATCTTATTTTCTCACCAGTTTGTGTGAATCAGTTGTGATAACAAGAATACATCCAGACAGATGAGATTAATTGTCTGATTGGGGAATATTTATTCTTTTTAACCTGTTTTTACTTGTTTTATACCTGAAGTTAGCAACAAACCTTTCTAGCATAAAATTATTTTTTCTACTTTTTTTCCCTCTTTCTGCAAAAAAATTTAAAAATCTTCACTGACCTACAGTAAATGTTTCTTTTCTCTCTGTCCCAGGTGGAGTGGTTGAAGAATGATGAGATTATAGACCCTGCAGAGGACAGAAATTTTTACATCACTATTGATCACAACTTGATCATCAAACAGGCGCGTCTGTCCGACACGGCCAACTACACGTGTGTGGCTAAGAACATTGTGGCCAAAAGACGAAGCACAACAGCGACTGTGATTGTGTATGGTAAGTTTGTATGGATCTTCTGTTTGGCTTCCAAAAAGCTATCGTTATTGTAACTTAGATTGTCAGTTTGTAAGACGTTCAAGTGGTGCAGTGATTTTCTTTCTTCTGCACCTGCAGTTAACCATCAGTTTTTCATACCCATCATCCAGTCTCCATCCAATAAAAATAGATCTGCTGCCATGCCAACAAGCTTTTTTTTCTCTTTTTTTTTTACATTATTTTTAATTGCTCGTACACTCTTGTTCTGCTTTACCCATAACCTTAACCAATTAAACCCCTCACCCTCAGTCACCAACCTCCAATTACACATTTAGTTTTAAATTGAATCACAAGGGCTTTCCAAATGTGTTTGTTTTCCACTGAGAGCCACAGTTCTGAGTGAGTTGTGTGGCATATTGGATGGTACCAGCTGTGGAAAAACAACAAGACCAATGAAAATAATAATTATTACATGACTCGGAATATCTCCCTTTAGCTTTGCTGTTGATTTCTTCTTTGGGTAAAGTTTTCTTGGGGCTGGTTTTAGTAAAACCTGAAATGATAAGTTAACTGAAAGACATGCTTTCATTTATTTACTTATTTATTTATTTTTCATTTTGACAATTACTTGTCTGTCATGAGGCTATAAGTAAAACTTGGACGTGAAAAAATACATAGCAGATAAGATACACGCACACACACACACACTAAACCAAGTGTTTCTCTCAAATGTAACACTGACTCAATTCACCAGGAGGAGTGTTTCAATCAAAATAACTGAGTATGTGTGCCTGTTCGATACAGACAGCGAGGGATGGAGTGGTTTGACACTGATGTATCCTTACAGAAATAGATTGTTCAATCTGGGGTTCAATCTTCTCGGCTCCACGCGGGCCCGGCTGACACTGTTGACAAGCTCGAATCATAGTTGGGGTGGGGGGGGAGAAAACAGAAAACATAAGAGGGTAAAAATGAAGCAGCTGGGTGGAGGGCAAACAGGTGAGGAGTAGGAGAGGAGAGTGAAAGAAACGAGTCGGCATGAAGTGGTGTGCTCCCTTTTTTTCTGCTAGAGTTTAATTTCTAATTAAACTTTGAGAAAGGGGTCGGGACTATTCAGAGCTGTCAAGCTCCTGCCTTAACCCACCATACTTCTGTGGATAGAAAACTCTACCCAGTCTGATTCACTTTAACTATATATCGAATTTTTCTTCCAGTCTGTTTCAACTTTTTCCTCCACTGTCCGGCCTTACTTTACTTTTTACAAAGCAATAATAAATCAAATAAAAGGAAAGTTGTGTCTGAACAAACAAAATGCTGGGTGACCTTGTAGAGGAACCAGCAAAACAAAAAGTATACAGATGTCCCCAGTCGTTCTGGACTAGAAATAAAGAGTGGATGCAAGTAAACTTTAATGTTTTTGGTGCAACATATAGGAGCTGCACTGTGTATATAAACAAGGGTATGGCGTTTTTGCTTGTTCAAGGAGGCGCAGAGTCATAAAAATGGAATAGAACTTGAACTGGAACAGGTTTTTTTCTCGCGTAATTCACATTTTGTGCAGTTTTTACAGGGTGCTAACTTTAACGATAATTTATTTTATTCATATAATATTCATATCAGATGTCAGCTACATCCTGTGTGATCCTGTGTCAGCACAGTAACACCTTCCTAAGCACACATGTTGAGGCTGAAACCTGGTATAACTGTATTGATGTATTAAATGTGTTGCCACAGTGAACGGCGGTTGGTCGACTTGGACAGAGTGGTCTCCATGCAACAGCCGCTGTGGAAGAGGTTTTCAGAAACGAACCAGGAGCTGCACGAACCCTGCCCCGCTCAACGGAGGACTGCCCTGTGATGGGCAGGCCATCCAGAAACTACCCTGTACCACACTGTGCACTGGTAATAGTTGTTTTTGATTCTATTGTAGTCTATTCTATACACTGTATTTCACTTTTTGTTCACCCCCCCCCCCCCCCCCCCCCCAGTGGATGGTGTGTGGACAGACTGGAGTAAGTGGTCCGCCTGTGGGACAGAGTGCACACAGTGGAGGAGGAGAGAGTGCAACAACCCAGCACCTAAAAATGGCGGGAAGGACTGCGAGGGTCTGGTGCTTCAGTCTCAGAACTGCACTGATGGACTTTGTATGCAGAGTAAGTAAGGAACAAAAAGCTGATCTAAGTTGTAAAGTAGAAAAAATATGTTGTTTTAAATAAATGTGTTTTTGAATTTGCGCCACAAAATAGGTTGGGGAAATGATATTTGCTTAAATTTGTCGGAACATCACTCAGTCAGAATCAGAGGCTTAACTTTTAGAAAACAAAACYATGAAGGTCTGGAGTAGTTCTGAAGTGTTAGCTTWAAGCTATTTTGTWCTGAGAGTTATYGGTCAGGGTTTTCATGGATCAGGCTTTACAAACCATCAGATCCCATCAAATTGGTATCAAAGATTTGATAATCAAGAAACCGTCTTTTGTTCTTTGTCATTTCTGTGCATATTCTGTTGGGATTTCTGCTGCTTAACTTTTTTTTAGATGAGGAAAGCTATTCACTTTTTGCAAATTTCCTTGTGGATGGGACATGTTAAAAGGACTTGTTTATGACAAAATGAGAAGCATTGGTCACTTCACCTGTCAATGGTCATGAGYATATGGATTACTGCATGATCAGATTTCCGGTTAAGATCAATAACCATAATAAGTCATCGCACTTAACAGAATGGTTTAAACTACAAAAAGCTGGCGTGACAGTGAAAAAATTCCAAAAACAATAAAACTCCTGGAGCCTGAGAACCAGACAAGGCATGGAAGCTAATGTCAGACTACAGYAAAGTGAGAGACTGAGAGACTATARGGACTGGGACTGGTGAGGGAATTGAAGACAAGCAGCTTAATGGTAATAGAAAACAGGTGTAGGTGGGGGAAAAAAACTTAYGAAAAAGCAACTTCAAAAATACGGACAGTGATGAAAACACGGGAAAAGGAAAATGCAGTAAGCATCACAAAGATGAAACAAGAGACGTGAACATAAAAATAGTAAACACAAAAGTTGACAATAAATAAATAAACAAATAAATAACACATGCACTGAAGATTTATTTCATATGTGTATCAGTCTTTGGGTCAAACTCCAGTCCTTGAGGGCCGATGTCCTGCATGTTTTCTTGTTTTCCTTCTCAAACACACCTGATTTGCATGAATGGATGATTAACAGGCTCCAACAGAATTTAAAGAGTTAATTGAAGTACTGAATCACGTGTGTTGAAGAAGTGAAACAAAGAAAACATGCAGGACAGCGGCCCTCAAGGACCAGAGTTTGACACCCCTTCCTTCTATGTTTTGACCCCCATCTTTGTGTACTTTTTCCTGCCACCTATTCTTATGGTCAACATTTCTTTTGCTCTCCCCCACTGTCCCCCGTATGCCCTCTTGCTCTTTTCTTCCCCCTTTCCAATATGATTTGCTTCTGGTTGAGTGTTTCTTCTTTGCACACTGCAGGTGACTCACCGAGCAAACCGACAATGTGTGAATGTTTCTGAATGTTATCATTAGGCTCACTCTTCCCACTTTCTCATCCCTCACTCAATTAAAAAACAACAATAGTTTTATATAGAAAGTAATGCTAAATTATGATGTGGAACAATCACCCACAACTTAGTCATTTCTGACATCAGTACATTTCTAAAAACCTGCATGGAAAATGTGGGCCGAGTCATAATGAGCACAATATAACAGCAGTGGTTTTTCCAAGGTAGAGGCAATTATATTTGTTGGCTTGTTGGAGTAGTGCTTGTTATTCCATGTGCTCAGAGTAATTGGCAGACGACAAAGGCAGGAAAGGGTTCTAAAAAGGAACATGAAAACACAATAAAAATTTATTTTTCTAACTAACTAACATCATGGGTTTTTTTTTTTTTACAATATGTGTCCAGTTTTTATTAATCTTCATCATAAAATGACACCAGTTGGGACATTGTACACTTTTTAAGAGTCTCATCTTGTGGTTTGTTTTATTAAAAGCAATGCTCAAACTTTTATTTTTTTTTTAGATATTATTGACCTGACACAYTATGACATCACACAAATATGGAAAATGGGAGCATATAAACACAGCTATACAGTAAAATGGCCAAACATTATGTTTGTGGGGAAAAAATGTCTGCCTTCTTAATCATTTTTTGTATTTGTCATTAAGCTAAATGGCACAYTACTAGGCCTGTCACGATAACAAATTTTGCTGGGCGATTAATTGTCTCAAAAATTATTACGATAAGCGATAATATTGCCTGGTGACAATTTTACAACTAATAATTATAAAAGCGTAATATGTAAGTGTAATAAATCAATAAACTTTAATTTTTAAAGAATGTTTAACAAAG